TTTTTTTTTTTTTTTTTTTGCCTTCAGTGAAGTCCACAGAGTCTTCAATTAGTGAATCAACTCCTTTTCCATTAATGCAGTTTTGGGGAGGAGTAGCCCTGCCTCCTCACTTGATGTTCACTAATTCCCTGGTGATTTTGCCTACTCTTTCTGACCCTCTTGACCTCCCAGTGAATATCTGGGCCACTGCAAGCCCTGGCTAAGCTGCACATGAAGTCAGGGCTCGGGCAGCAACTGAGGTGTTGTTTCAGGGAGACAGCAAGAAGATGGAGGATGCCAGTGCATACCTGACTCTGCCTTCTTATCGACATCATGTGGAAAACAAGGGGGCCACCTTGAGCCGGAGCTACAGCAGTGTTGGGGGTCTCTCTGTCAGTTCTCGGGATGTGTTCTCCATTTCCACCCTGGTGTGTTCCACCAAGCTCACCCAGAATGGTAATGAAACAATCGAGTGTTTTGTCTGTGGGGTGGATGTGTACACGTGTGTGTGTGTGTGTGTGTGTGTGTGTGTGTGTGTGTGTGGATGTGCAAGCCCAGGAGAGTCCCGATGTGGATGCTTTGGCCATAGTAGTGATTCTGCTTTTCTGGATTCGATTGTAGTGGGCTTGCTGGGTTTGCTGAAGTGGCGAATGAAGCCTCAACTTCTACAGGAGAATTTAGAGAAGCTGAAGATTGTGGATGGAGAGGAAGTGATGAAGGTCAGTAGGACTTCGCTGTACTTGTGCAGAACTTTAGGTCAAGACTAATGCAAGTGGAGGAACAAAGTGTGGAAGGAGATAAGATGTCTTTCCCTCCATGATAAGACACACTGTCCCAAGTTGCCACGAGGCATCTTTACTGGGAAATACCAGGGAGTGATTTGGCTCAAGGCCTGAATACTGACCCTCAGAAAACTCTGGCTGTGTTTAGCCTCTGGCGATCACTCGTCCTGGATGCAGACCCCAGCTCTTCCACTCACCCCAGGCCTGGCAAATTTCTCAGGATCGCTATTTGTACTCAAAGTGATAATATTTATAAATATTCAGCACAGTCCCTTGCATGCAGTACACAATAAGTGAATGAAAGCAATAAAACATACACGGTTCAGTAAATAGTGTATTAGCTAGTGTATTTTTCTGTCACTGACACACAATATCCGACACCCACAATTTAAAGGAGAAGCTTAATTTGGATCAAGGTTTCAAAGAGACTCATTCTGCGGTTGGCTGGTTCCAGGCAGAAACATAATGATGGAAAGGCATGGCAGAACAAAGTTGCTTAGTCTATGGCTGGCAGGAAATAGGTGGAGGAGCAGTGCCAAAGAAAAAGGAATGGAGAGCAAGCATAGACCCAACACTTCCTTGACCCACCTAGATGCACCCAGAAGTGTGCTCCACCAGTCTCATGATGGATCCCCAAGCCAGGTTGACACTCCACTCCAACTGCCATAAACAGTAAATATTAATTAGTTGTGTTGTTATCAGTAGCCATACATAGTAGTATAGTAGTAATATGATCTTAGCACTATATGCTCATTTCTAGGAATAAAAAGTATTCTTAGTTTATGCTGCTTGGAGAACATTACATATTTAAGATGAGAAAGAGAAAGATATCAGGGCTTATATTAAGTGAAGCAAAGAGATTCAAATGTCAAACATATTATAGTAAGCTCATGCCAGTGAAGAATATAAATTGTTAGAAGCTCAGTTCCAACTAAAGCAACCTTCTTCTCCAGCATTATGAATTGGCACAAGGTTTCCCAGAACTCCTGGTGGTCTGGTCTCCACTAGGAACTTGATGTAGCTAGAAACTCTCAGATGAAACATCCTCTTGGTAGCTCTGGGTTTGAGGGATTATAGGAAATGTTGACTCATTTCCTAGAGGGAAGAGAATCAAGTTTTGCTTAATTGTCCAACCCTGGAGAAACAGTGGTAGAATTTCCAGATTAATGCTTTAAATGTACACTATTGACTCACCTATGTCATTTAGCAATGGCAAAGAAATCCCTTAGGCATCCCTTTTATAAGGTTCACACCTTCGGGCAGCTTGGGGAAGTCAGATGGGGGAAATTCCACTGCTTCCTATTTTGATTTTTTTCTTCTTCATAAAAAAAGTTTGTTTTGAAATATAATTATGCATATAATAGAATAGGCACAGAGCACTTTTGAGTACAGATCAGTGAATTTTTATATATACATACCATATACCCAGCACCCAAATGGAGACGCAAAACATTGTAGAAGTTTCCCTCCTACCCTTCTTGGTTATTAATCTTCTAAGGGGCAACCATAGCATCATAGATAGGTTTGGCCTGCTCTTGAGTAACATACAAATAGAGATTGTATATTATTGTCTGACTTATTTTACTCAGCACAGTGTGTGTGAGGTCTTCCCCCATCTTTGGAGGTGCAGTGGTTTGCTCTTCTGTGTTGTACAGACAAGGCTACCATGCATGTATCCTCGCTGCCATTGCTGGATAGTTGGGTTGCTCCAAGTTCTGGCTCTTGTGAATGATACTAACCTGGATCCTTGAAACATGACATGTGGCAGGTGCATATTGCCATGCTCTTGGGCAGATTTCTGGGATACCTGTCCTCTTTCTGAGTGTGACCTTTTATTTATTATTTATTTATTTATTTATTCTTGTCCAGTTTCTTCAGGACACTCTGGATGCCCTGTTCAACATCATGATGGAGCATTCTCAAAGTAATGAGTATGACATCCTCGTCTTTGATGCTTTGGTAAGAGAGGGGGGCAGTTGTTCAGTGACATTTGGCATGGATGCCTAAAAATACTCAGAAGGGTGGGTTTCATGGCTCTTTTCATGAGATTTTTGGCATTGTACCTTTGACAACTAGATAGATGAATGAACTGCTGTTTTCCTTCATTTCTTTGCAGTTCATTTGAGAGCCTCAGCCACGGTGGGTGAAAGGGGAATTTTCACTGTTGATGTCAGTTGACAGTGATTTAAAGGCAGTGAGGCTGGGTCCTGTGAATGATCACCTAGGCCATTGATGGTAAACCTGCTACAGTTTTGAATTATAATAAACAGCCAGCTGTGGCATGCATGACATCTGTTCGCCACCCCTGATATAGACTTTCCATGAATTCTGAGTCTAGTCTATGACTCCAGATGTTTTCTCTCTCTCTTTTACCTTCTTCTCCTCATGTCCCCTGGCTCACCTGAGTCATTATACTCCTGCTAACCTAGAAGCTGTCAGTGTTTCACTATCCAGATCTTTGCTCCCTGTCTTTCCACATGATCTCTTTCTCTTTTCCTTATTGCAATTCACATTTTTTTAGAGTCTGATATGACCAGTTTTTCAGAAGAAACATAAGAAATATCTGCATTTGTGTTATAAGGTGACAAGTAAAATTTTAATATATTAACCCCTTGTGTCATGGACATTTGCATGTTTTTAAAGAGGTTCCTTGGAGATAACTGTGACTTAAAATTTAGTGCTTTTCGAGAAGGTGCCCTAGAATGCTAGCCTTATAAGAAAGACACTTCATGACTAAAAGATCTTTTGGCGTGAATGTCGCATGACCCTCTTGGAGATTCACAATGCACATAAGTATATTAAGGAGTGTAGAAAGCTGAATGTCTCATGACCCTCTTGGAGATGCACAATGCACATAAGTATATTAAGGAGTGTAGAAAGCCCTGCACTGAAGAAGGCAGTCCCGTAATGATAACCTGAAATTTCTCTGACTTATTTGACCATGAAATCCCTTTGTCTTATAACACCCTGAAGCATACTTCATGAAACACTTTTTGGAAAGATAATTCTTTAGTGAAAAAGACTATTACAGAACTAACTCTGGCAAAATAATTTTGATAGGGGTTCAGTTATGCCAGGTAAATATGATTCGCTGCTCTGAGTTTGTCCTCCAGAAAATAACTTGTTGCACTTTTCTCAGATCTACATAGTAGGACTCATTGCAGACAGGAAATTCCAGCATTTCAACACAGTCCTGGAGGCTTACATTCAACAGCATTTCAGTGCTACATTGGCTTACAAGTAAGTAGCTGCATCCCAGACTTTCCTATACAACTCGTCCTTACCCTGCAAGGATGCATAGGGCACAAGAAAGTGGAGCATTTTTCTTTTGTCAAAAGTCTGTGACTTTTCCCTTTTCTGACCAGATCTAGCCCATGCCCATGTAATGTAGATATCCTAAAACATAGGCAGAACACAGAGATTGGGATATATACCTGATGGGGCCAGTAGTACATGGAGATGTCCATTTATTCATTCAACTGATCAGGTGTCATTGATTGAGCCATCACTCGTAAACATCAGGACTCAAAGGCTAGAGAGAAGAGAGTGCCCATGCCTAGTAGCTCAATATTGCTTAGGTCTAGGGAACTGTACAGGAGATGGGAAATCATGTGAAAAGTCTGATGGTGGCCAGTTTGCGAAGAAGTAGTTTAGAGCCTGTCCTATTGGGAATGAATAAGCATAGAATGTTTCTAAGCAAGAGTGTTCCATAATGATTACAAGAACATTTTCTATAGAAATAAAAAGCTGAAAAAAAAGGGTATCACCTTCATTATGCCTACTCTTTGCCTGATTATGCATGGTTTTCTGAGTCAAAAGATTTCTTTTATAACTACTTTTTCCTCTACTGGCTTTTTATAGACAGGAAATACTTAATCATTTCCCTGTAATAAATACATTTTTAAACAGTTATTTTTATGCCTGCAAACAAATAGTGAGCTTGGGCTATTCTATCACCTTTGACCTTTGAGTGAATGCCTTATAATTTACTGAGCAAACTAATTACCAAGCTGTGGGCTAGAAAGAGATGTATTTTGAAAATATTATCCCTTATTCAGGAAGTTGATGACGGTGTTGAAGACTTATTTGGATACCTCCAGCAGAGGGGAGCAATGTGAGCCGATCCTAAGGACTCTGAAAGCTTTGGAGTATGTGTTTAAGTTCATCGTTCGGTCCAGGACATTATTTTCACAGTGAGTACTTGTTCTGTAAGAATAATTGATTAGCTCTGCGATTCCTTGGGTAGAGAACCAAGTTTTTATTTTTATTTTTAGTAACTCTTTTAAAAATTAAAGTCAGCTTTTGATTTAAAAAACTTAAAAATCCAAATCCAACCTAAGAGTTATGAGAATGTAGTAATTGTACACGCTAAAATCATTTGGGAAAAAGAAAAGGAATCTTAGCATGTTGCAGTTCTTTTTCACCAAATGAATGTGATTTATGATTGGAGGTTCTTCTGTGTTTCGCCTAACATCCTTCACTTGATTGAAGATAATTTTAAGCAAAGTTTCCTGGAATCTATATTTAATATTAGAGGGGCTGGGAGTGGGGAGAACATAACTCTAGGACTTTGGCATTTATTTGGCTGTAGTTGGTTGTGCCTGGCAGATAAGCTGGTATTTGCAGTTGACGTGTCTGTCCTTGGGATCCTAATACCAAACAGCTGGATATGTCATCACCTTAAGGGACTTTGGTGATTAGCATTACACAAGTTAAGTATTTAAGGGGTGCTGGGGATGGAGGCGTTCAAATATGACCTACAAAAGAACAACTTATTTTCATTTTAGTTTTAAGGCAAAGGTATGTAGAGGATTGGTTATATGTGTGATCAGATTGGTTGTATGTAATGGGAACTAAAAAGTACAAGTAATGTGTTTTCTGTATTCTTATCAGTGTAAATGAAAAACACTTGAAATTGTCTTAGGGAGAAAAAGGACTCTACATTATCAAAAAATTCTTAGAGTATATTATCCTTGGATATGGCTGAATGCATATGCTCAGTGTCAGTGGGACATATCTGTCTAGATCTTGACCTTGCTTTCCTTTCTTTGATTGCCTTCTGAAGCACGTTTTCCGGTGTGGAGGCTATTATGAGCCTCACATTGCATGAAGCAGCCCTAGGTTTCTTGTTATCGCAACAAAATCCTATACCAAGAACTGTCTTGCGTCATATGCTAAGACCTTAATCAAGTACGTAATAGGTATCTTTTGTAGTCACAGCCACACTGGCCATGGGTCAGGTTAGCCACTTATGGTATAGATTTATGTGAAGAGAGGACTTTGAAAAATAAAGTTAAACTTTGTAACCCTCATTTGACCATGACAATGGATGGACTGCTAAAGCTTCATGCTCAACAAAACATCCAAAATGGGTAATCATTTGGGATCTTCCTAGGAAATTCTTTGAAATTGCAGGTAAGGAGTAGTAGAGGGATGGCACACAACCTATGTCACTTAGGTTATTCTGAAAGTGAAGGGTCTGTTTCAATTTCTCTGGCTTGTCATTTAGTTAAATGTTAGGCAATAGTCTTCCAAGATGAGAAATACTTCTCAGTAATTTCTAAAGCATTAGGAAAATAAAAAGAACATTTTGTAAGAGTTGAATTTCTTGGAGTTCAAGGATTAAGACACTGTAGTTCTAGATTAATAGGCACAGGTATGGCATCCCATCTTCCAAGTGAGAATGTTTGACCTATAAGAAGGATACATTTTTTCTTTTTTATTCATATCTTCTTCTGTAACTCTTTGATTTATTTCTCCTCTTCCTTTTCCTTCTTTCTTTCCTTCCCCCTCTCTCCTTTTTCTTCCCTCCTTTCCTTCTTGTCTTTCTCCTACTTACTGGAACAATGGACATTTGTTCATTTGCTTTCTTCTTCTCTGCCTTGACACATGTCATCTTGCAGAAATCCTAACACTCCAATCTGTGCTCTTTGGACTTTTCAAGGAATATGGTGATCTGTTATTTCTTGCTCTACCCTCAGCATATAAAACTTCACTCACGTTTGATCAGAATGGATACCTCTAAGACAGCACAGACTTCACCTTGAATCCTTTATTATGAACAAAAATGTAGGCTTACCTGCGAAGGTGGTCTGTTACCTCATGGGAGCAGAAGTCAAGTTTTCTGTGTCTTGCTCATTGCAAAGTCTTTAGTTTGCTCTCCACTGGAGCCTCAAGGACACTGGGAAGAATTGGGGTCTTCCCCTATATAAATGGCCATCTTACTTGGAAAACTAGAAGATAGAAGGCTCAATGCTTTGAGATTCCTAAGCCAGCTGGTAGGAAGTAAGAATATAATTATTGTTATTGGGTTGATTGTGTCTGGTATTGTGTTTCTGTTTCCTGTTACTTCTTTGTTCTTTTTCCCCATGTGCTTAATTGCAGTAGATCTAGGTCCCATTATTTGTTCCTTTGCCACTTTTCTTTGCACACGCTACACAGGAACACTTGCAAGGGAGAGGATTTTCTTGTATCAATACACAGGATGCAGTTGGGTACAGGAGGAGAAGTAGAGTGAGAAGGAGTAGAGTTTTATTTTATTAATTTCTGCAAAATGATGCATTATAATGTATGACCAAAGAAAATGAGTTTCCTGTCCACACTCCTTAAGTCAGTAGCTCCTGAGTCAATGTCTGGGGCAGGTGTCTCTGGTCACAGCCTGAACCACAACTGAAGTGGAAGCTGGTACATCAGGTTCCAGCTTTTTTTTTTTTTTTTTTT